CAGTCAGTCTTGGTTTAGGTTGTGTGTGAATAAGGCATTGTTGAAGTGAATGAGGGACACCGCAGCTCTCGACGTTCAGCAGAGAAGCTCTACTGAGGCAGGATCAAAGAAGTCAGTCAACCAAGGCTGCTGCTCAATGCAGACTTTACTCAACCAACCACACACGCTAATCTCCTGTCGAGGTCTTGTGAGAGAAAAGAAAGGCGTCAACCAAACCGAATCTAATGAGCATCTACCATTCTGGAAGAATAAATGACAAACAGAAAGGTAAGACTGGAGACACTAACAAGTCAAACTGCTGACCAGTTCTGTTTTTTCTTTTTCTTTTTCTTTTTTTTTTACCTCTCACACTCACACAGACCTACCAATAATTTATAGAAGACATTAATTACACTGCTGAGCTGCACTGATGCAAAATGGTGACCAAGACATGTTGGTTAATGTAATAGTGCAACTATAAAACAATGTCATACTATATAAATTTACTCTAAATAATTTTTACATACTGTAGCTTCAAGTGGAACAAAATGATATAGAGACTGAATTCTCATTAAGTTGTAACTTCTTTTAAAATAATATTTTAAATCTGTTTAGGGGGAGAAAGTTAAATTAAAAGTCTCTTCAGAACACTATTTGTAATATTTTGGATTATTTATATAAATTTATTTGAAAAGGATTAAAAAAATTAAAAAAACTCAGAAAAACAGTAACACTGCATATTTGCATATAACACAAGTAGATAAACTTGTTAAGTCACACCACTATCAATTACTGAGTGCCACATTAACAAGATTCAGGTTAAAAAGATCTATGCAAATCTTGTGTATAAAATAGCTCACATTACGCTCATTTACAGCTTCATACAAGTTTTTTTTTAAAAAAAACAACAAAAAAAACACAGTTTTTCCTCACACTGTACAAGGCTTGCATTTCTTTGTTCTTTTTGTGCCAGTTCAGCTCCTGTCTCTTTAAGACCACACTCCCAAAAAGCCAAGTCTACTCTGATTGGTCAGCTAAGACAAAATAACATTGGTAAAGATAGACCTCAGCAGAAGTCGCCACATTATATGAATGCATAAAGCATATTTTCATGCGATGCCATTATTTCTGAAATAACTTGCTTGGGTACCTTTTTTTCACGTGGGCAGTCAAGGAACAGAAAGCCAGCTGAGTTTAAGCTGCATTATGACACAAAAGGCAACAGATAATACAGTAACGTGTACCCAGCCTTTCTTTATTGGTTTCCAGTTGGTGCCACAAAATTACAAATTCTAACAGTCTCTCAGCATTACAAATTGGAGACATTTCCAGCCTGCGGGTACATAATCAAACCAAATGGTTTGTAAGTGTCTGGTCAGTGGCTGACCTAGAAAGCCAACTATCTTGGAGAACACTTATGACTGACTAACAATAGCTTTTGCCTGTAAGCTTGTTTGTTAGCTTGTTAAAGCAAGGTTTGTCGGGTTTTTTCCATGTTTCACCAGAAAATTTGTATTTACCCTGACTGCAACTGATCGTGAATAACTGCAGCAGGATCACAACCATTTAAGGTTAGATTATTCATAGAGCACTGTTCTGCTTTATATAATAGCATTTTGGATTTAGATTTTAAAATAGGTAGACCATCATGGTGGTACAACATTCAAGACCCTGCCTTCTATAGCTACCAGTGTTTGAGATTCATGAGACTGGCTGATTGATCTTTGAAAATTATTTCTAAAATGTATTTTTCATAGAAATAGTGGCATTATAACTATGTGATTTAAGACCAGAAATAAAAAAAGATGTTCAGACAGACAGGTTCAGTGGCTACAAATCACTGTGTACGGCGGTTTCAGTCTCAAATCCCTTGACTGAGCATGAGGCACCTTTTATCGTGGTTCATCCACTTGCAATTAATCTTTAACAGTTTTGATGCAAGTCTTTCTCTGCCTCTTCCTCAGATTCAGTCTCTCTCCCTTATATCTCAGTGCCTCTCCAGCTTTCTCTCTCTCACACACACATAAATACTGCAAATATTTATCTCATTTCTTGTCCTTAATTCAGGTTACCTCAGGGCATCTACAGAAGCCACAGAAGACAACGCTACTACACTCAGAGAATTTTAAAGCCTGTTGGGACTATAAATGTACTGAGCTAAAGAAATGCAGAACTGCAGCACTGAAAGTTGGTTATGAGTTTCTCCCTCCACACTGTGCATCAGTTGGACTGGAATGTGACCGGACTTTAAGTCTCACATGGAGAATAAAAAGCATATAGCGAGAGGAGATAAAAGAGTCCTTGGCCAGATGATTGGACATTCAGAAAACCCAAACCTTAATTCTAGTGTGCAACAGTCATTTATGGCTTCAGGATTGCTCAATAATGCATCAAAACCCACAGGCCTCCGGGGGAAGCAGTCAGTAATCAAAAAGTAAGTTAAGGTTTTCATAATAGGGCCCTATAAATAACTGGGGACAGAAATGAGGGCATGTAAAATTGATGAGGGATGATTTAAACCCCACGAGGTGGATGAAGCTTAATGCAAGGAGAAAGGATGTGATGTTGAGTGGCCCAGCAATATGGGCATATGTAGAAGATGGAACTGCACAAGTGATTTGTGTCACCGGCATTACTATATAAATGTGCTGATATATAGTACGAGCATTGTTCTGGAGGCAACATAGCTGAAACGGTGCTATTATTTTAGAAATACCTCAGCCTTTTAAAGTATTTTACTGTACTTTTTGTCAGTCTTGCAAAGATTGTATAACTCATGGCTACCAATTAAGTTTTTACAGAAGAAGAGCTCCATCTTTTTTTATGCTGTATTCATTGGTTCTCTCTACTTCCGTGCTTTACATCAATTCCTCGGCAAGGACTTAAAACACAGTGTTTTCTGAGTTTCTTGTATATCTGAAGGTCATGTTGTTGTTATCAGTTCATGGAATCGTTATCAAGAGATCAATAAATTCTATATCACTTCAAAAATGCTCAGTGTCTGCAAACAAAGCAGAGAAACAGAGTTTTCTACATGGGCGACTTCATTTAACTGGTCTTTTGTTGTAAACTGTAGGTATGTATGATACAAAGAAGAAAAAAAACATTGCACAATATAGCATTTATGTGCTCATTGTGTTCACTTTATGTGAGTAAATGTCCATGTGAGATGGTGTACAGTGCTGTTACAGAGTGAAGGTTCTTCCCACCCAAATACTCTTTCATAAAGTGAAAACAGTGGTTTTAAAGAGACAACACATTTACAGACAACACATTTAAAGTTTGTCCTGGAATTAACAATAATTAGTGACTTGGCATTTTCATGTCATGTGAAATCAGGTATTTTTAGGAATACAATATTGGGATGTAATATTCATCAAGCACTGAAAAGCGTCTCTTATCAGTCCTTCAGTCAGTGCCTGAAAAATCCACTAATAAAGTAATCTTGCCAGTCAAAACAATAGCAATTGAATCCCTACTGTGCTGTTGTTCCAGGGACATGCAGGTATTGTCCACGGTTGACTGCCAACCAGTCAGATGGATCATTTAACACTTGGCAGTGACAAATTTGAAAGGAACTGTCCTTGATGTTTTTTGGCCAGGTGAGACATTGCTCTCTCTCTTATTCCAGCTATACTGTAATTTTTCTGGTCCAAGCACACAGCTTTCAGTTTGTATCACATAAGGAAAACATTTGCATTACAGTCTCATGGTTGCGTGCCTTTACCTGTTGGTCAAGCTGCAGTTTACATCTTTTGTCTGTCCAAAATTGGCCTTTGAACTATAATTTGTGTGAATTTTTTGGCATAATTAGTGTTTGGATTATGACCAATACTGTGCTTTTTTGAAGTCACAGTGAAATCTGACCACTAAAATCTAGCTAAAATCTATCTAAACTTTCTCCTTCAGTCAAAGTGGTCAGTTATGGCAAATCTGAAGAAATGACCTCAAGGCATTCCCATATCCTTTATCCTACCTCTGGCCTGAGCTGTTGCTGGAGTGGAGTCATAAAAGCAGATTTGAGACATGTGGGCAAAGACCACAAAAATATCCTGATTCAAGATTTGTCAGAGTCTCTTGTTTTGTACTGAAGGGCCTGCATTCCCTCTCCCACTGGCACACAGGTATTACAGAATCGCAGTCACAGAGAAAAAGGCTTCTAGATCTTTGAGTTAAAAAAGGGTCAAGACTAAAATCCACTGATGTTTTTTTTTTTGAAACAGCATGTACCAAAACTGTGACATGTACTGCAAAAGACAACACTTTCCCGATCGAAACCAGACATTTGATGCTATTCATGGAAACTGGGATGAACCTGACAGACTTTTCATTTACAGAAAAACACAGAGTGTTAAATTAGGCCACTTATTAGCCACAAGGGCACAGGCAGATACTAAAATACCCACTGACAAACAGTTTAAGTGGCAAAAAACACTGTAGCACCTTCATCTAAAGCCGTGGTCTGTGTGAGTTCTCCTAACAGTGAGACAGACAGGTTTGCTTTCAGACATATAGAATGACAATATTTTTCACCACAAAGCCACATTAATGCCAGCTGGTACTGATGCAATGTGAGTAAATTCACAGTGGTTAGGTGAGGACAAGTAGCACAAAGCACCGACACACTAAGCAAGCCTCTTTCTTGTTTTGTTTGCCTTTTTTTTTGATTGTCAGTTAATTAGAAAGTCATACGGTGGTTGTCTGTGAGTGTGGACGAGCAGGAATAATAGCAAGCTACACATCTCTGTGGATAAAGAAAACCTTACCAAAAAGCACTGTAGTGAAGAAGTCAAAATTGAAAAGGAGACTCCAGAACAACTTCAAAACCAATCTGCTCATATCTTATTAATAACAGTCACAGTAATTACTAATCATGGCAACAGTAGTCTGTATTTACAAGTTTGACTGTGCTTGTCTGGAGTATATTCAGCTTGGAGAAGTGGTGCTGGATACCAATTTTTTTTTGTACCACAATCCCTGCATGATAAATGGATTAAACAAATCCATGTACTGGAACTCACCATCGAACTTTTTATGCCTGGAGACAAATGTCGTCCTCATATTGTGGCTACTCTCCTCCACCAAATTCTCAAACTCCAGTTTGCTCTGCTGGTTGAGTTTGTCCTCCATCTCTGACGTGCAGCAGGTGTATCCCTGAGGACAGACACGCAGGTGCTCACCTGAGGAAGACAGAGACACAGAGTGCTGTTTTTAAACACATCACTGCCACAGGATTGGGATATTTCAAAAGGCTGAGCGGAGTCTTTGATCAAAAATCTCCTGTGATTTTTGGGATTCTCATCATTGTGGCTATCAAAGAGGGACACACCGTAACAAACGGGGATGGATAATATTTGTCAGTCACCTGCCATCATGTGAAACAGAGGATAAATTTGAAACAGCAGTGCGTGCACCTCATGCAAGACTTTCCTTAAAATCATAGTCTAACAGTGCAATAATGACAGCTGAGCTTTAGTAAATCAGTGTTACATGATATAAAATTATAATTTGGTTAGTAGAAAGTCAAGTCAGTTGAATTTACAAAACCCAGTATTACAAATTTAGCTCAAGGGGCTTTCCTACTTGTCATAGCTTAAGCGATGAAACTAGTAAAATAAAATAAAAATTAATTACTGCTGGCTGCATTTAAAGCAATTTCCTTCAGGATAAATAAAGTTGTATGTTACAACTAGATTTTTGGTAAAGTGGAGCCACCAGAACAAGCTATTAACAACACAGGGACATATTTTACCACATCTTGAGCAAAAATTGTTAATTTACACATCCACCAGACAGCAAACAATCTCAGAATCGATTTGGAGTTGTGTTTCTAGATATTTAACTCTGGTTTTGGCCTCTACCAAATCTGGAACGGTTTTTTCAGGTGTTAAACGCTTCGCCATGTTAACCAGCTAAATGCGTCTGCCATTTAGCTGGTCTTCGGTGCCAAGTAGGTAGTGTACAGAAAAATGAGCATAACTTTTTTATTTTAAAGTGAAAACAATGCTGATGAGAGTGGTGACACTGAGGCAAAACAGCATGAAGTTGCAGGACAGAAAGCTGAGAGCTGAAAAACTCTGAAGCATCACATTTGCAGCTGCAGAGTTCACAACTTTTCCGAGATACACTGCAAAAGGCCACTTTCTTCTCTACAGTCACATCTTAAATATTGCTAAAGTAAAAAGAAATACAATTTGTAATGCAGGTTTAAGTAGGAATGTTTAAATTACAAAATATGTTTCTGACACCACAGCTTTTGTACTTGAATGCACTGCCACGTATATAATAACATCAAGCTCAGCTTAAAGATCCATTTACTCACAATTAAGGAAAAGATTTTTTGGATTTCAAATAAAATTCCATTGTACTAAAACAGAAGCAGTATATACAACACCTCACCAAATAAAACCAACAATATCTGCACATCTCACTGGGGGTCAGTTGGGGGATAAATGATAACAACATACTGTATAAATTCTCCCCAAAAAATGGGACTCTTGACTGTATATGATGTGGTGTTGAAGCCTCAATTGAAATGTGTCTTTAAAAAAAATAAGACAAATTTTCAACAAGTGTTTCAAAATCACTTTGGATGTCTGTGGACTTTTAAATCAGTTCAATATAGAAATATGTTTTAGTCTACAAAAACTGTGTATATTAGAATATAAATCTGCCCAAATATCTGTCTGTGTGACTCAGACAGAAATATTGACTCTGTGGGAGTGTGTAACTTACCAAATTTTCTGAGGTCACAGTCGACATTATTTGAAAATTGAGGAAAAAGTGAAAACTACTAATCTCTGGTTTTTGACAAGAAAACAATCAGCAAACTACCCACATCTGACAACCACCTCATTAAAATAAAGATGGTGTTGTTCTCACATCCATGGATTATTCTGGGTGTGAAAAGTGCTGTGTGTTAGGTATGTAAAAAGACTTGATTTCCAAAAGAAGGAATGAGGAAAAGGATTCTAAAGCCTGATGAAATGAAAAATTCATCTCCACAGCAATAAAGCACAGCACCATCTGACAGAAACCAGACTTAACTCACCACACGTTTAACACAATCTCTACCTCAGAGCGCAGTGATGGCAGCATCAGTAAGCCAGTGTGCAGGGACCGGGAGACACATGAGATTAGAGAGAATGATGATTTGTGCAGACACAACAGACAGATTCCTGAAGCAAAGCTTGTGACATTGCTGAAGATTTCTGATTGACTTTATATACGTTTAAACATCAGAAAATTTTAGAAGTAAAAGAATAAAATATTGCAAAAAAAAAAAAAAAGTCTACGAGTGTCCCAGAAAATGTAGACTTATATCAAACAAACAATCTCATTTGAGGAGAGACTTGCATCCAACTTGACTAAATCCACCAAAACATCCATTATCTATACACCTCTTAGTCCTCACTAGGGTCATGGGCGGCTGGAGCCCATCCCAGCTGACTCAGGGTGAAGACAGGGGACACCCTGGCCAGGTCGCCAGTCTATCACAGGGCTACACTTAGAGACAGACAACCAAGCACACTCACATTCACACCTATGGACAGTTTAGAATCACCAATTAACCTCAACAGGCTTTTGGACTTTGGGATGAAGCTGGAGAACCCGGAGAGAACCCATGCTGCACAGAACATGCAAACTCCATGCAGAAAGATCCCAGGCCTCCTAACCGGGATGCGAACCAGGGATCTTCTATCTTCTACCTGCAAGGCAACAGTGCTTAACAACGAGCCACCTTGCAGCCCCCACAAAAACAAGAGGCCTACAAAACACACTTAAAGTTGCTCCTGCAAAAATGAAGCTCAAAGGAATCAGATTTTGAAATGCATTTGGTATTAACTGACAAAACCTCCTAGTTTAATCAGTTCTGAACTTGTGGAAGTCCGTCTCTGGCCACTGATTAAAGCCATAAAAACTAATAAATATGTATAAAAATGGCGTATATAGAAGATTTTTCTCCATGAAAATAATCCCTTTGTACCTTAAAACGGCTAAGATGTAACTCTGTTGCTTACTCCAGAATGTGTTACAACAGTTTGCTGTTGCTGGAGCACACAGCTCACTTGCAACTCAAACACTGTAAAACTACTCTGTGCGACACAATGGCAAGTTATAATGTTTGAGCAATTCATGTTAGTACCATAAACCAATGATGAAGTTGAATAATGAGAAGGAAAGCCCCAATTCACAAGTAGACAGGATTGGTTCCTTATGTCTCTTACGTATAAATCCCTGTCTGTCTAAATGGCAAAGAATTTGACTAAAATATTGTTTGTTTTTGTTTACTAATATGAAAGCACATTTTTGTCAAGACTCAAACTAAATCCAAAACTGACGCTAATCAGAATGTGTATTCTCATCCGTTTGTCTTGCTGCTGCAACAACCGCAAAATATCCTTTTGTATATATATATATATATGTGTGTGTGTGTGTGTGTGTGTGTAATAAGTCCACATTTTCTGTATGCATGCTGTATTGTATCTTCTCTGCCACTAACAGCATCAGACATCATTACCAGACATTTTTTTCAAAACAGTCTGGCCAGCAGTCACACAAAAGAATTGAGTTTTTCCAGTTCTACCTATTAACATTTGAGAAAGAGTAAGATGAAATGGATGTCGCTGGGGGATTGGCGCACAACAGACTAGCATTGTGGGACTTTTTTTGAGGAATCCTACAACAGTACACAATGCAGGCACCGGCAGGTACACTGCATGCATATACAGTAAGCTATAGATGAGCGAGCTGTGCTTGGATAATGAAACAAGGAAGATGCAGTATGTACGTGCTGGCACTCTCAAATGTGCTTAATCCTTAATCAGTCCTGAGAGAGGCACCAAGCTACAGTAATGAGGTGCACCATCAACAGTTCAACACAAACCCATTTCTCCAGAGTAAAGCACAAACCTCCTGGCCACAGAATCCAAACTCTCTAACACGCAAAATTAGCTGAAATGCAGCAGTCGATTTCTATTTGGCGATTCTTTAAGGCTCTTTTGTTTCTCTATTAAACAGTGGTGTTGTAATGTTTTAACAAAGCCACAGCAGGCTTCAGCTGTCACACATGATTGCCACTACGTGAAGCATCACTGTGTGAAAATCTTTGTTCCAAGTCGAGATCATTTTTAACACGCCTGGAGAGAAAACAATATTGTGCCGGGTACACACTATGAACTAAGTGTGGCATACTGATACAGTTTCATTAGATTAACTATTCATCATCTTGTTTCAGGCTGTTTTTACATAAAGCTCTGCTGAATAACTTTTCAGCCAAAACAGTTTGGGTTGTATGAGCTATGCTCTCATTCATGGAAACGATGTAGTTCAAAATACCTGATTATAATTTGTTTTAGAGGAAAATGTATACATTAAGGAGTCCAGGAGTTATTAAGGCTGACTTGAGGCCAGTTTCAACTGGCATGTGTCATAGAAAACTCCTCATTTCAGCTGGAACATGGTTATTTCAGCATCTAAACTGCAGGGCTAGAAAAAGTGCCCAAGTAAGAGTTTGGCACAGGAGTAAGGTTTATTGTCGTAATGATGGATACTTTTGGGAAAATTACATTTTCTTGCTGTATTGGGAAACTGTGTGACTTCGAGTTAAGTCATTTTCAATTTGAAGTTTCTGTTGATGCAATATATTGAGCTGGTTTCTCAGAGAAGGTGGACTACTACTGTTGACCACAAAAGGTTGCCAAAGAAAAAAAAAAAGAAAAATCAATAAAGGGCATAAGCTATTCATAAGTGTGAATGACAGCTGAAAGAAGTGTGTGGTGCTTTTAGCTTTAATAGGTTGTGCACCACTCTCTTCATCTCTAAGGCTTGTTTTTGCACAAAGACATAATTTGGCATATCCAGCTACTTTCCTATTTTGAAAAGTCGTGATGCTGCTGTTACATAAACCAACACAAAATAGGACTTTGTAAGCAGCAGGCATGAGTGTGAGTTGCATGTTTATGATGCTGTGACTTTGTCTCATGTTATTGCTTTTCTTACTTGTCTGTTTTTCTGGCTGCTTTCCACAATACAGATAGCAAAAAAAAACCAGAAAAAAAATAATGTAGGAACAACAACAAACCCGTTTTTTTTTTTTTTCCTTATTTATTTGTTGGTTTGTTTTTTTACACAAAGAAATTTGCTGCACATTTTTCTGCCATCTTTTTTTAAAATTTGG